GGACCTGCTCGCTGAGAGGCAGCAGCTCTACCAGTTGCGCCACCGTGCTGCCCATACCAAATCCATAATCTTCTTAATTTATGTTACATCTCAAAAGCTCAAATAATACTTCAACTACAGCCCTAAATCCCAAATGAGTTGAAAAGGAGATGCTGTGGATGCATTACCATCTACATGGAGGCTGTGCTCGAGTGCCTGACCGCCAAGATCTTGGAAGTGGCAGGAAATGCGGCTTATGACTGCGGGAAGACTGAGATCATCCCCGGCACCTGCAGTTAGGTCCGCAGCGATGAGGGGCTCGGCAGGCTGCTGGGAGAAATGGCCATCGCTCGGGAAGGAGTTCTGCCTGGCATTCAGGCAGTCCTGCTGTCCAAGAGGACCGAGAGGTCTGCTGGGTCTTTGTGGATGGATCGGCATCTGCAGCCAATTGCCCAAAGCCATCAGCATCTAGAACAACTCTAATGAAACCAAGATGAGCTACAACAACAACTAATTTCCCTTTGGGATTAATAAAGTATTTTTGAATTGAATTGAATTGAATTGTTGAAAACATCACACTTTCCTCACTCTTTCTTTTCTTCTTTCATAATGATGCTCATAACATTCTCTGTGCTTTGACATTTTGGCCGTTGTAATTTAAATTGGCTCATGGTATTTAAGGTGGTTTTCTGATTGCCAAATATGATATTGGCATGGAGATCGTGTCTATGGCTTTTTACATTATTGCGCATTAGAACAATATTAGAATGACAAGTTTTTACTGCATGTTTACTTCCAGTCCTGTGCATTTGTTTCCTCTTCTTATCACTTTTTTATGAACTCTACAACAGAAACTGATAATAAGAAATTAATAGATAGTCCTTAGTACAGACTGAACTTTCTTCCAATTTGGTGTGTCTAAGCTGCATGGCACCCCAACACGCCCCAGGACCATGTCAATGTTACATTAAACACTATTACTTGACCTTAGCAGGACCTGTTCCTGTACTGCATCTATTTGAGCTACTACAAAAGCCCCCTCTCGATGTTCCCAACATGCTGGCAAAAGGAGAACAATCCCATTACATTACAACAGGCCCAGAGCCGAGCTAATGCAGAGAACATTAAAACCATGTCGCATCCAGTCACTTACTTGATGGATCCAGGAAGGGAGGGGTGGGAGATGGAGTAGAATGTTGAAGACGAGGGGTATAGGATTGAAGTCTCTGGGGTCGGGCATAGTGATAATGTGATGTTGTGATTGCAGCAATGGAATGGATGAGATAGTACCCTGGTGCCCTTGAGCAAACTGTCATTCAAAGCACTCTAATTAATATCCCTACCTTGTCCACCTCTCTGCCACCACAGCCAACACACTCCATACAAGAGGAAGATTTATATAATACAACACATTGTACATGCAACAACCTTCTAAAAGGAGAATTTTGTAATGGACATTTATGGCCTTTTGGTTGTAATAGGTACAACCTGGCAGCTCTGGGCTTTTACTTTTCAAGACAGACTGCAGCAAGAATTTTGGAAAATGGAAACCCACCATTTTGCAAATTGTAGCTTTGTATTGTTAGGGTGTATAATTAGGACCTCATTGTGACAGCCATTGAAAGAACATTAATGAGGATTCTGATGTATTCCATATGAATATGAATATTGAATTTTAAATATTTTATGGCTTTCTAATTGCCTTGGCTGCCGTTAATGACTTTGACTGTTAAACATTGCCCTGAGTGAATATTTAACAAGGGTAAGTACCTTTTAAAGCTCAAAGCTAAGTCAAATTCTTTTCTTTATGATTTTTGTCTACTGCACATATCTGAGGCACAAATACATTTCTTGACTGAAGGCATGTCTGTGACTGTGCAAACATTGGAACCAGTCCTTTGCTCCTTTACAAAGATGAATGTATATATAATTACAAAATATATCACACGCACCACCTTGATATAGAGTTTAATGGCCGTATCGTTTCTTTGTGGAGCATGTCTGCTGGCCTTAATCTTCTCCACAGCTGACATCTTAATAACTCAGCCCTCTCCATCCATTTCCACATGAGACATCCGGATGTGGGGGAAAGATTAGTTTAATGAATTTGACAATTAGTAACAGAAGTTAATGACTGCATGGGGCTAAGTACCCTGATGGACATAGCTTGGGGGACTAAGGACTTCCATTGCTGTGGGCCATAGATCCTCATTAATAGCTTCTCTGCCTGTTGAAGAGGACATGGGAAGCCAGGCAGTGCCTTTGTTTAGTCTGCCTCTGATGGAGCTGCTAGGGCTTTGGACCATTTGCACAACATCATGCTAGAATTAGTCCCTCTGTGGACAAGAGCTCATGCCGGACCCCATGTCTTTGACCAGGTAAAGCTTCTTTTAATAAACAAAGCTCATTAAACATAAAAAGAAAAAGTGACATGGAATCAGGGCAGCAAGTTCCTTTTGCAGATCTTGTGCCAACAGTACACAGAAAAAGGTTTGTGGGCCTTCTGAGCTCCTCAGCCCTGATTTATCATCATATTACCCAGATCCTACCTCTGGTTCAAGCAAAACATTATTTAGCTAGATAGCTCTAGGAAATATTTTTATCATTTCCTATTTTTATACAAGGCTTTACGAGCTATCATGATGCTTTGTCAAATTCTCACTTTAAACCATATTTTTCAGCCTCTATAAAACCAAACTCTGCTCTTTTTATGGCAGTATGAATACGCACGCATAATTGTCAAAATATGTATCAATTCAGATGTACTTTTTCTTGATAATAATTTATTCCTTCTCCCAGAATTTAGGATCAGTATTTGTAAAATAATAATCAGAGCAGCAATAGTTGCCCTCTCATTTTTGCCCATCTACTGTTGGTAGCTCTGATGATGACAAAAAATATATAACCATATTCTTTAAATAATAATTTCCCAAAGCATTTGCCAAACGCTCTTGCACCAAGAGTCTCCATTGCAACAAAAGGAAGATGAGATATTTATCTAATGTTATCATTAGTGTTGAGTAGACTGTGGGGGTATAAGCTTATGTGATAGGATATAATGAGAGCCAGAAAAAAAGATGATCCATTTAATTAGACAAGTTCAACTTTAGAGGTCCAAGTATGTACAAGAGTCTGCCTCATGAGAGAAAGCAGATAGAGGGAGAGAGAAAGAGTAAAACACACAAAGAAGCTGCTATTTGTTGTTGCTCTGATACTTCTGTCAGGCCCTGCCAAGTTTAAAGCCAAGGGACTCAATTGGTGTTGGTATTGCACACTTCTTCAACTCTGTAATTTATAAATCTTTGCCTCTTTCTCTCTGTCTGTCCTCATTCCACCCTTTACTTACTAATTTGCCTCTTTAGAGAATGACAGTTGCATTTAGAGAAAAGGTTATCATTGTATTAGAATAGAGTGTTTTCCTCGAGGCTTACCTCAAATTACATGACACTGCCTGCAGCCCCCTTTCGCTCTGTGCTAGACTGAAATGTTATCAGTCTGACTTAATTACTGTCACTGAGCAATGGAATTGGCTCTAATGTATGTTTCAGTCTCAGACTCGCTGGAGAGATATTAAAACTTGAGGAAAATCCCACCTTAAGACACCTTCGTAGTTAACTTGGGTCAAAGAGTTAATTTCTGACTGGGCTTATTTGGACGTGTTTAGATTTATACTGCTCATCTGCTGCACAGTAAAGGCAGCTCACACGTATACTGCCACACACATGCACGCACACAGAGCACATCCTTTATCTGATTAGCTGTAACGCCTATGTGTGTTTGTGTGCACGAGGCGCGTTGCGTCTCAGCTCAGCATCAGGCCTGAGGCAGGGCATGGATTTCATTTAGGAAAGTATCAAAGGTTTACACCGTGTTCGCTTTAATCAGCATGTTTATCAGGCAGAGAAAAATTGCAGGAAGGGACCACAGGGAGAGGGAGGGGCAGGGGGTTATCTTAAGGACCAGTAGCCAGGGAAATTGATAATGGCTACAAGGTAATTTGCTGGAGACTCGGGCATCCCTCCACTGCTCCTACCCTTGCCTTTCATTCTAATTACAGTCCATGTAATGTTCTAATGAATCTGCAGGTGTGTGGGGGGGGGGGGGGGGGGTGGAGGTGGGGACGATGGCATTAAAGAGCAAGTATGTACCGGTAGTCGCTTCAAAATGAAGCTCCTGTTTGATTTTTTTATGTGTCACCTCAGATCAGACGTGTTTTGACGTAAGAAGATGGAAACCATCTCAAGTCTATCAATAACTCTCAAGTGTGTTGTTGTCCCACTGTTTTTAAAAATGAAATACGATTTGAAAAGCAATTAGCATTATTAAAGATGCATAACACAGACTAAACGTTCAAATGATACTTTGGATTGTCACTGTGGCTCTATCTTTTGGTTGAGTGTGCAGGAGACAGAAGCTGTGGCCAGATAATCTCCTACTTAGTCCAGACTGTTGAGAAGATACAGAAACCACCGTTGGCAGGTCTTGTGCCTCTAGTAATACACAAATGGAGCTTAAACACACACGTTCACTTTGAGAGGTATGTGTGCAAGCCTCCAGGGGATATGGGCTGGACCAGAGAGGCCTTGATAGGACAAGAGTGTAAACATCCCCACGGGATTGAGGTACAATGAAAGGCATGAGCTGTCAGGAGCCTGTTTTCTCCGTTTTCCTTTCTGATGTGTGTGGTTGCATGGATTCTTGTATGGTATTGTTCGAATAATACCACGCATACAAGCTGAGAGACCAGACATGCTGAGAGATCGTCACATAACAGTGTTCCTACAGTGCATGTTTATGTTGTAATAATAAGGCAAAAACAGTTTCCTTTGTCTTTTTGTTGGTGCAGGAAAAGGAGGGTGTTGAGGCAGTGTCTGTCGGGGCCATTCTGTCTGATTACCAGAGGATCCGTGTGGAAAATGTGTAAGTCAAACACTCAGAATCCAGAGCACACTTTGTGCCTAAAGTGCGCACGAATCCGCTGCAAATAGGCCTCGAGTGACGCACACTCTGTGATCCACTGAAGGAAAAGAGTACATCCTCTGTTGTCTTCACCTCACTGCCTGTTCTAAACTTGGACTAAGTTTGTTTAGACACATGCACACACTTTTTGTGCCGCTTTATTTAGACTGTTTTTTATTTCACGGTGTGGTTGTTTTTTTATGGCACAAAATGGAATGGAGATGAAACTGATATTTGCAGCATTGTTCTGATTTTGTAAAATTAAAAAATAAAACATTTGCAGTGTCCTTGTTTTTTTTCGTCTATTTTTACTCTTCCAAGTTTTTCCACACTTTTCTTTGTTTCTTTTGCATTTTATTTTTTACATATCACAGAATGCACATAATGCAGAACTTTTAGAATCTGTGCATTTAATTAGTAAATTTAGTGGCTGTTTAACTTTTATCCACTTTTTTTAAAGAAACAAACTCACATCTGACTGAGATGTGGAGAAAGTACTCAAACAATGCGCTTAAGTAAAAGTACAAATAAACAGACACAGATTTACTCTAGTAAAAGTAGAAGTACCACATTAACGTTTTTACTTAAGTAAAAGTAAGTACTTGCTTTTAAAAATACTTAAAGTATAAAAAGTAAAAGTACTTGCTGAATGTATTATCTAATGCAATGGTCTACAATATCAATAAGTATTCCTATCTTATGTATATTTTCAGTAATACATTAATAGTGTTGAGCCATTTTAATGAACGATGCTGCAGATAATACATGTTTTTATTGTGTTTACTCTGTGACACAGTTCACACTTGGACTTGTGATTCTGTGCATCACAATTTCAGGGATGACATGCAGAGTTAAATGTCATTAATCAAAATGAGAGAAATGATTATACCTTTGAAAGTTTTTATTTAACACAAAGCAAAACCATTGTCATTTTAACTGCATTAAAACATTTAAGTAAAAGTTGTCTGCCTGAACAAAAGAGGCATTAGACACAACTAACAAAGGAACAGGCTCTGATCTGATCATTTCAACTCCAGTTAAAATACAGTCTATTCAACCTTGTAATGGGTCAATAGTGAACAGTATTTTAACTTCCTGACACCATTTTCAAAACTTGGACCTGAGTGTCGAGACATTTGGAAACATCTCTCGTCTCCTAACATCATGAACTGACACATTTTAATATTGCAACAAGAATTTCTTGTTCAAGTTCAGAAGAAGTCGGTTTTCAAAGTTTTTGAGTCCAGTCTGGCTCTTTTGAGAGAGAGAATCTGTTCTTCTGTACTGAATAGTCTTTCAGTAATCTTTCAATAGTCTTTCAATAATCTTTCAATAGTCTTTCAATAATCTTTCAATAATCTTTCAATAAGGTCATTGGTAGTGCATATTTTCTGGCTGACTCTCCGCAGTAGAATTCATTTTGGGTGTGTTAGTGGTGCTGTGGTGCTCCCAGTTCAATGACATATATACTAGAATATACGTCATTGGTCCAGCTCTTCTTGAAGGCGGGCCTAACGTTACCCCCCCACTTTGCAGTGATTCAGTGGACCAACTCCCCTCTCACCATCGGCTACTTTCAAAGTAACAAACAAATCCAAAAGCTGCAACGTGAATGTAACGTGTAACACAACGCATTATAGAAATATAGTGTAGTGGAAAGTACAGATACTTAATGTAAAATGTATTGGAGTAAAAGTCAAAAGTACCCATGTTTAACTCTACTTAAGTAAAGTACACGTACATGACAAATGTACTTAAGTACAGTAACAAAGTACTTTTACTTAGTTACATCCCATCACTACATCTGAAGCTTTTCGTGAACAGTAGACATTTGTCAACCGCTTGGTTCCAGTTACCTGTAGTATAAAAAAGTCATTTTTTCACGACCCTTTGAAAAAGAAGCTATAGCTGTAGATTATTTTACGATTGTCCTCCTAAATGAAGTCATTGGCTCCAATGGCAGATGGAAAATGCCATTTAAAGATATCAGTGTTGCCTTTAGATGGATAAAATACTCAGTAAAGTTGTTGAAGATGTTTTGAACTTGTTCCAGTATTGTATAATATTAAGAACTGACCGTTCTGCATCCTTTTCACCTGCTCTATAGATGTATGCGGCTTGGTTTGCAGCCCTTGGCCTTCCTATGGCGTCGAGATCAAGAGTCGCTCTTCTCTGAGATGATAACATCTAACCTGCATGCTATCCTCATTAAAGTAGCTGCCGTAGGTAAGTGAGTTTCTCCCCTCTTTGTGTCTTAGCTAGAATACTAGCACTTAGATGTTACCACAGTTCTAGACAGTTTTCTATTTCCCTTGTTAAGACTTCCTCTCAAGGCGCCATGTTGGTCTGAAAGTGGATAAGTGAATGACAGCAGTGAAAACAAGTTCTGTAACTCAAGAGAAAATGTGAGAGAAGCAGAGTCTGTTCATTAATCTGTGCTTTAGCAGTGATGTTGGGATTTGTTCCAGCAGCAAACGTATCGAAGCAGAAAACAATATGAAAAGATGAGAAGCGCAGAGGGAGGAGCCGTGGAGGAACTGGGGTTATTACTGTGATACTGGAAGAGTGGGTGGGCAGGTAATTGGTGATTTCCCTGCACGTTAATGCAAACTGCCAATAGTTGACTTATATATCAAGAACTCTCTACATATGCATAGCTTTGAGTCTGTGATCTGTGAAGTGAAAATTAAAATCTGGTACCCCTCGTTTACCCTTTGCAACTTTTTTAGCGCAGATAATGCCCCTTTTCCACCACTCCTACTCAGCCCCAACTCTGCTCAGCTCGCTACGGTTTGAGCGCTTTTCCACCAGTACTTTTTAGCTGATTCGACCCCTTTTTTTGTCCCTGCTTCTCTGGTGGGACCCTTCGAGCTGAGTCAGGACATAAACGTGACGTCAGAACACTGTCGGTCACTGAGTGGTCAGGGGGGAGGAGTCACTGGATCTCAGAAACTTTTCACCGATCCTCCATTTGCAATTATTCGGAACTCGGAGTTGCGGCTGGATCTATTTTTAGTATTTTAAAAACAATAATGAGAACACCGTGTTTAATGCTGAAGTGCAGGTGTTTTTTTGTGTTTGGTGACCGACGACAAAATTACCGCGGAGGATCATACGAGCTGCCGACCTGTTGAAGCCCGCGAGGCTGGGGCCCGGACCTCGGCCTCGTGTTCTCACAAAGGCCAGATTCTGAGCCCTGGCAGGCGGGAGGACTGGGACAGAGGGTGGAAACGTTTTTTTAAAAACATTTTATATATAAAAAAATGTTTTAATATCAGTGAAGATTAAAAATAAATAAACAGTGCCGGCTTTATCATGAAATCCTGTTTTCACTTTGACTTTATTAAATCTGTTCATTAAAGTTAACTCAGCTGAAAAATGATAAAAAGACAAAATTATTGGCTCTCGCAGGAATATTTCCCTCAAATATGTTTAAAGAAGAGCTACAGCCTTTAGATTAACTTTATTTTAACCCACAGATGTACAAATTAAAAAAAAAAAAATTACACTTTAAATCATTAAAATAAAATAATCTGTATACAAGAAACAAAACTACATATCTCAATTGAACAATAAAAGTATACACGAGTGCAAACACATCAAATGATGAAGAAAAATATAGAATTTTAAATATACATGTAGATGTTTTTGTAGGATCTGGTTCATCAGATTTAATTTGGTTTATAAAGCGCCAAGTCACAACAGAAGTCGTCTCAGGGCACTGAACAGAAATATTCATATTTAAAATAAATTAACAAAAACATTCATATTTAAAAATAATAATTTAACATTATTCATCTGAGGAGCAGACTGCTTTGAGTTTAACGCATTGCAGAACTCTCTCTTAATGTTGAACTAATGTTCATTAAAAGTTCATTAGCAGGATTCTGGATTCTGGACACGTCTCCAGAACCCATCCTGAAGTGCGGTGGAAATGCAGCGTGTAAAGAGCCGATCTGAGCAGGGCAGAGCGGAGTAGGGCAGAGTAGGAGCGGTGCAAAAGGAGCATAAGATAGGTGAACACTGTGTCACGTACACTCTTTTTGCTTAAAGGCTAGAAGATCAGATTACTGTGGAACATGGAAGATATAAATTCAAGTTTTCTCTCTCTCTCTCAGGTGCATGTTATGATCACTGTATCTATTTTAATAGTGCAGTTTGGATCCTTTTTGACTGTGCCATTGATAAATGATCATTATGACTACAAATGCTCCTTTTTAATTCCTAACTACTCACAGAGATGAATCATTTTAAACACACTGTTTGTGTGCTGTTAAGTGCTTGTTGTCACCTTTGGAGGCAATCAGTTGAAAAGGGGCCATGGCTGACTGATGACCTGCAGAGCTGAGTAACGTGTTTGAGATATTTAGCATATCTTTCAACACTGCTCAAATAACCCCTTATGGAATGCACTTGCTAGGCCATTTATCTTTGGTACCCAAGTCGCTGCAGCCATTTTTTTTATTTTTATGGTTTTGATAAAGCTCATTTTGATAAGAAATAGTACACCTAATAAGATGCCCGTCAGAAGTGGAGTGATGTTAGAATTCATGTTTTCAAGATATTTTTTACTGTTGGATTATTTGCATTAATTACCAAAATTACTGTCTTCCAAGTCTTTCTTTATCACACGTACAGCCACAATAGAGCTAAGACTTCATTTAACAATGATTGATCCGTCATATTGTCATTATATCCATCTGAGTTATTGTTTTTGTAACCGAACACCCAACTGAAGACTTCAGTCACCCCCTAACCCTGTTCCTCTACCAAGCTTTCAAATCTAAACACACCTTTGTCCAAAAGCAAATTCCCTTCATTTTTTGAAAGATTATAATTAGAATGGATGATCACCTCGGGTGCCTTTAAACGTGTATCTCGGCCTCTGCACTGTAGATGTCTGCGTGAGTACGTGTACATGTGTGTTTTGGCTGCAAGTAAAAAGAGCAGATCGTATCAGCACTGACTTCTCACCTGTCCCTGGGCAGTAGTAATTAGAAAGAAGAGAACTGGATGGGGGACGAGCGCCTGAAGCGTTTTAGGCGGCACTTATAATTGCAGCTTTGGCGGGAGCAGGTCTGAGCAGCGAGGTGTGCTGTTTAGGGGAGATTGGGTGACAGAAAGGCGTACCTGGTGGGCTTTGGTTTGTGTGACAGAGCAGGAGAAAGAGTTTGAAAGATTTGAGTTTTACAGAAGAAGAAAAAAATACTTTCACAGAGCAAAGGTTAAGCCTGCTTCAGTCTGTAATGTGTCTTTTGCTGCTGTTATTATTTTTTATTTTTTAGATTGTTCTTCTTTTACTCCCTTTGAAAGACTAATGTTTTCATTGGTTCTTTTTCTTCTTTTCATGCTTCATCCCTTCACTAAAAAGACAGCTTTCCAAATGATTCTCAAAGTAAATTCTTCATAAGTTTGCAGATGGCAGAGTAAAAAAAACCAACAACTTTTTTTTCCAAGTATGCCAAATTTAATGGAGGGAAATAGGTTCAACCAGTTTATGCAAATGCATGTCAGAAGATGCTTCTAATTAAAGAAGAATGTATTGTGTTGTTGTTGAAGTGCCTTTAAAATGCAATGTTTCTTTTGCTAACCTCACTAATTGGCATTTCCATAGCTAATAATAAATATTCATGTAATTAGATAATTGATTGATTAGTGCAGGTATGTATCAGGGTTCACAGGTTCAGCAGTTAATTGGTCCTGAGCTCCAAGGATAATTGGCATGTGTGAAAATAAAGGTCTGTCTCAATGAACTTTCACCCTTCACATGAATATAGTCTTTGAGCAACCAAAAAAGACATTTACTCTTCCTTAAAAGACAACTAATGATGAAAGACATTTAAAAATATATTCAAATGATTTTACTATGAACAACTAGGATATTCATAGATCATATTTTGTTTTATAAAAACTGAAGATGTCATACTGCGAGGTTTTTTTTTATATTTGTATTTTTCAAAATTAAATAGTTTAATTAAAAAAAAAATAAAGTAAAACACAAGATAATATTAGTACATACACTGTTCAACAGCCTAAACAATTTTAGCTTTTTGTCTTTTTTTTAAGTTAAATTTGCACTGTACTTTTTTCAGTTCTTTTTGCACTGCATTATTGTTACATATACACAATTGAGGTATTTAAAAACACTGCAGTAAATATTTTGTTTATAACTAACATGAATTCTGACACCATGTTTGGCGTAGTGCTCACAGTAAGCCAAAGTGCTTTCAGTAAGTTTAGAAAGTTTCAAAAGATAAACAAATAATTTAAAACAGCTGATTTTTTTAAAAAAATTAGGTAAAAGCAACATTTAGATCCTACTTTTGATTTAATAACTAAAAAATGAATACAAGGTTAGTTAGAAACAATAATATCCACTTACACAGACTCATGTTTGTGCTGCTGTTCGACATATTGTTTTTATTGTTTTCATACTACTAGTGCTTAGTCTATTTTTAGCTTAACTTTTTTAGTTAATATCTTAGATCTTATTACTGTTTTTCATTTAATTTTTTTTACTTTTGTTGGATGTAACTGGGACCCTGTGTACACAATTTTGTTCCACCACATGTATCACATGTGATGCTTATGATAAATAAAGCAACTCCTTGAATCCTTGATTATACTATAGCTAAAAAAATCAAAATGACAACAACGGATGGTTGTGTGTAGAATGACTGTTGTTGTGAAGAAGCGAAAAAGAGTAAAATCGAGAAGACCAATTGGTGGAAGCTGAAGAAGGAAGAATATTGTGAGAAATTCAGAGAGGAGCTGTTAAAGGGTTTGGGTGGTAAGAAAGAGCTTCCAAATGACTGGGCTACTACAGCAACAGTAATTAGAGAGACCAGTAAGAAGGTACTTGGTGTGTCATCTGGACATAGAATGGACGATAAGGATACCTGGTGGTGGAATAGTGAAGTGCAGGAAGCTGTTCAAAGAAAGAGGTTAGCCATGAAGAAATATGACAGTGAGAGGACTGAAGAGAGAAGACAGGAATATAAGGAGATGGGACGTAGAGCAAAGAGGGAGGTGGCAAAGGCAAAGCAGAAGGCATATGATAAGTTTTATGAAAGGCTGGACACTAAAGACAGCAAGAAGGACTTGTACTGAGACAGAGGGATCAGGCTGGAAAGGATGTGCAGCAAATTAGGCTTAGTAAAGATAGGAATGGTAATGTTCTAACAAGTGAGGAGAATGTGACAGGAAGATGGAAGGAGTACTTTGAG